GAGGTCCTCAGAGACAGCACCCGGGATAGGCCTGGTCTCTAGGAGGTCCTCAGAGACAGCACCCGGGATAGGCCTGGTCTCTAGGAGGTCCTCAGGAGACATATCTTGACTGAAAAAAACTTGGTTTTTACATTCTCCCGGGCCCCCAGCGGCAGGCATTGACGAGATGCTTCACAAGGGCTGGAGCTGGGGAACTGGGTAGAGGTGGTGCAAGGAGGAGGCAGAGCAGGAAACGGATGTTCCCTGGTGGCAGGGAAGGCACAGGGACGCACCGAGCCAGCCTCAGGAGCTGTACTGCGTGTTCACCTTCCGCAGCCCCCTCTTGCCAAACACTGCAAAGCCACCAGTCAGAGGCGTGGTGACCTTCAATAAAGAGGGAACCTGAGAGGAGAGGCATGGCTCACCCAGCTTCATACACCCTCCCCCAGGGCTCAGCAGGGCCATGGCAGACAGCAGGGACTAGATGAGTATGTGCTGAATTGAATTAGTAGGAATGATTGTTACCGTGTCACCTCAACACTCTCTGTCAGTCGCCAAGAGCTCCTTAAAAACGCCAGGGGGTGATGTATTTAGCAACAGTGATTGATGAAGGTGTGACAACAAGTCCAAGAGAAAGAGGAGGAATCTCAGAAAAGAGTTTCTATTGCTGGTTTTTTATTTTTATTTTTTTGGCTTAACAGACAAGTGCTCTATCTGTGAGCCTTTGGTTTCGTTATGATTTCAGGACGTGACTGTCCATTTGGTGTCTCAGCTCTGCTGAGCACCTGAGACTAAAACACTAACGCGTCTAGGAGAGGGAGCTGAGATGACGACCCCGTCAGACACCCGACACTGTCCCTCTGTGACACAGAGCTGAGGAGACCAGCGGGATGGGATGGAGACAAACGAAGGCCCTGGGAATACTGAGCTTCGAATGAAAGATAAAGCTGGAGAGAGAGGCCATCCCGACTGGAAGGAGGCCAGCGGGAACAAGACCAGACTTGGCTCGGGAAGAAGCGCCTGCCGGCGGCCTGGCACAGCGTAGACATTCTGAAAACATGCACAGCGCCTTCCCAGGTGAGGGACGCCGGAATGCAACTTCGCAGAACCCCAACGAAACAGGGTAGACAAACAAAGCGAGAGCCAAGCAGGGTGAAGAAAACATAAGCTGGATTTAAGGAAGGAAAGCAGGCAAGAATCCCAGAAATGGAGTAAGACAAGAGGCAGGAAACAGGGATGGAACCACTCACCAGCCGTGGACCCAGGTCCTTTAGGTTAGGGATCTGCTTAGAGGGGAAGTGCCCTGGGGTGGTGGCTGGAGAAGCTGGACTCCAGGTGCCCCCCCCACAGTTGGCACTGAGTGGGGCCAGGAGCCTGATAACTAGCCCCATTCGCTGAGGAATGCACTGGTGCAGTGGCTCATGAAGAGCGACTCACTCCCCCCGGCCCCTATATCCTCCTGAGAGATCCTGATGATCAGCTGCTACCCTCGGGCCCGGCGCGGTAGTGTATGCCTATACCTGTCACCTCTCATCTCCTCAACCCAGCTGGGAGGGAGCCAGCTGACCAGCAAGCTGCTGCTTGTTGGTACACCCTTCCCTTCCTGCTGGCCACACTTCTCTCTCCTGCAAGCCCACTGGAGCTTCTTCCCGTCTGTCCCTGCCCCATGAGAGGCAGAAGCAACAGGATGATTGTGTGCCTGTGCACCTGGTGAGAGGTGCCCACACACCTGGCATTGTAACAGGTGGGAGCCACACAAACCTACATGAATCTGTCTGTGGACACCTCCCCCTTGGCCCTGCCTGCCATTTTCCCTAGTCTCGAGGCAACAAGCATGCACCCACATACACACACTAGCCTGCCACTCACACTGTGCAGGGGGCGGTGATAGAGCTACTGTGGGCACCAACCCACTGCATTCCCATGTATCTATCACACCCACCACACCTATTGCCATACTCACCAGGTGAGTGCCACTGCCTGATCCTGCCAACCACCGGAGTCATGACTGTGGCCAACAACTGTCAGCTTGCCCTCAGAGAGTCCACAGACCAGCGAACAGAGACCCACCCCCCTCACACATTATGCGCTGCCTCACTAGCAATCGAAGTTGCGTGCATGGTCAAGCAAGTGACCACCAAGCAAGGCCAGAAAACTTTCTTGAGGAAATTGAACTTCAACTCAAAAAAACCCCAAACTCACTGCCATCTGGTTGATGTCCTATCATATTGACGCTATCTATCAAACAGAACGGAGCCACCCGCTGGGCTTCTGAGGATGTAACTCTTTATGGGAGTAGAAAGCCCCAGAATTCCACCACAGAGGGGCCATGGGTTTCAAACCACTAACCTAACAGTGTGCAGCCTAATGTATAACCCAAGAAATTAAATTTCTTGGCCTAAGAAATGATAAAGAATTATGTGTAGGGCCCTTCAACAGATTAAGGAAGAGACCGAGGGAGATATAAAGAAGACCAAGGAAATCAAAGTCAAAATCAATGACCACCCAACAAAATCGGAAGAATGCAGGAGAACAGTACAAGAACAAATATAAAGACAAAATAAACAAACAACAAGAAACCATATAAAAACAGCAAACAGAAATACAGAAAAATCCCAGAAATAGTGCTCTATGATAGGGCCTCCAACAAGGTTATGGGAAATTTTTACTCTTAATTTCATTCTCCCAAGAACTTTTTGAAGCCTCCTTGTAGAAAGTCCTGGACAGTGTGAGAGAAAGAGGTGGCGCGGAACTCCATTCCCAAAAAAGCCAACACAAAACCCAGTAAGAGGCTGCAGAGTCCTCAGGACTGCCGCTTACAGACCCTGTAAACCTGGTCTTGAACTCACCTGCAGTGAACACCTTTCAGCCAAACAATGAACAGGCCTAAAAAGTGAATATACATCACAGAACTGCCAACCATACAACCCCAAAGGGCAGCATTTGCCTCAAAACAAAGTTCAGAAGACAGGAAGGGAAGGAAAGAAGGATGACTGAAAACGAGGAATGAGAGTAAGGAATGTTGTTACTCTGAAGGGGTTACAAGTGTGTAAACTGTGAAATAGAAAATGGATTTGCTCTATGAACATCATCCAATCATGATAAAAAAAACTTAAGGGTAAGTACCATATGACTCACTCACTCCTCACTCAGTCACTCACTCCTCACCCCTCACTCCTCACTCACACTCCTCACTCACACTCCTCACTCATTCACTCACTCACACTCCTCACTCACTCACACTCCTCACTCACTCACTCATTCACTCACACTCCTCACTCACACTCCTCACTCACTCACACTCCTCACTCACTCACACTACTCACTCACTCACTCACTCACACTACTCACTCACTCACTCCTCACTCCTCACTTACTCTTCACTCACTCACTTACTCTTCACTCACTCACTCCCTCGCTCACTCGCTCACTCCTCACTCACCCACCCACTGCCATGGAGCTGCTCTCCACTCACAGAAACGCTGTAGGACAGTGTAGAAGGTCCCCTCTGGGCTTTTGGAGACTGCAACTCTTTATGGGAATTTCTCCAGAGGAGCGGCTTCCAGGTTCGAACTGCTGACTTTGTGATAAGTAGGCTAGCATTTAACCCACTATGCCAGCAACACTCCTCTCCAGAGCGTGTAAAGGCAAACGTTTAGTAATGGCAGTAAGGATTCTCAGAGTCGGGAGGAATGCAGTTTAGGGGCCTTGAGTTTCTGTGCCGAGTGCGGGAACACATTTGGAAATGGACAGCAGCGATGGCTGCCCTGTGGGTGAATATAATTTATGTCACTCACTTGTACCCTGAAAATGGTTAAAATGACAATACATTTCTTATATATATAGTTATCAGAAGAGCAACAACAAGAAATAGATACATATATTTTAAATGTTGTGGACACTAGAGAGTCAGTCTGACCCATAGCGACTTGTGCACATCAGAAGGAAACCCTGCCTGGGCCCACGCCCTCCTCACAAGAGTTCCTCACAAGGGTGAAGCAGTACATGCCCCATTTTTTAAAAAGTATATTGATTTAAAATGTATATATTTTTACAAGAAAAGAGAAAGAGAACCCAGGGAAAACTACTCATTGTTAATAGCCTGGTGAGCCGTAGTGGCATGGTGGTTACAAGCTGGACTGCCACCCACGAGGTCAGCAGATCGAATCCATCAGCTGCTCCAAGAGACAGATGGGGCTTCTTATTCCCATGAACAGTTAATAGTCTTAGAAACCCACAGGGAGTTCTCCCCTGTCCTGTGGAGTCACTATGAGTTAGCATCAACTCGCTGGCGGTGAGTATTTCCCCCCTACTTTGGTTAATTTGGTTAATGACCCCGAGCTGACACTGCCCCGATCTTTGAGGTCAAAACACTAACAAAAGTTAAATGTTTGCCTGTGCTTTAGCCACATAGATTATCAAAGATATTAACTCTCTTACTATACAAGTAAATTTTAGTACCTCCTCACCAAATAATAATCAGTTTACATTTCGGTTTTCAAACAAAACCCCCCCTTTCCCCATTGTTTCAGACTGAGTATCTGATCAGGAGATAGGATGGTTTGTAAGAACCACACTCCCACTCCTCCAAAATATCCATTTGTAGAATTTGTTGCCTGGAAAATACTTATTCAAAGCTGATTTTTTTTTTTTTTTTAAGGAATTAGGCAAAGAGGCAATGGTCAGGGTGTTCCTCCCTTTGGAAAATTTCAGTAGTTAAAAAGTACTCACGGAGCCCTGGTGGCTGGCGTAGTGGGCTACTAACCACAAGGTCATTGGTTCAAACCCACCAGCGGCTCTGTGGGAGGAAGATGAGGAAACCCCGCGGAGCCAGTCCACTCTGACCTATGGGTCACTCTGAGTTGGAATCGAGGACTCACCGGCAGTGGTTTGGGTTAAAGAAGTACTTACTGGTTTTCCCGAGGGTCCTTCTGGTCCAGGGAAACCTGTGTCTCCAACAGGTCCTCTTTCACCCTATAACCGTGTTCACAGAAAAAAGTCAATGGCCATGAACATGTTTTAAAACTACAGGCAAGTACAACCTCTAGGAACTTTTAAGAAAGTAAATTGTTACTCACGGCCTCCCCTGGGATTCCTGGAGGGCCTGGAGTGCCAGGCTTTCCCTGATGAAGCAAATGAAAAAGAGATGTGATGAGCCAAATTACCGAGTGACACCACGTGCGCCCCGCCCCACTGGAGAATTACGTGTGCTGCTAGTGCCGTTGGCCTCTTTATCTAAGATGGCATTCCTAGTGGAAGCCTAGGAGAATGTGCTGATGTGTGTATGGGGGGCGGGGGTGGGGGTGCAGGGAGACCAAGAAGGAAGGATAATATTTTTGAAAATATTAAACCAATCTATTTTCATTATTAAAAATCCCCTATGTTCCTAGTGCCTGGCAGCTCTTTTTTACTTCGTGGCTTGGGAGGGCCCTGAGGGACAGATAAATCCTTACTTGGCTTTGAGTTTCATAAGAGGATTTGCAAATTCATAGGAAGCCAGCTTGAAGACAAGCACATTTGCTGTGAGAGTCAGTGTTTTGCTGAGGGGGAAAGGAAAGCTTGCATTGTTCCAAGAGGTGATCATCTGAAAGCCAGACCATGGAGTGACCCTGGAGCCTACAGAAGCCAGGATGAGGACCGTACTGAATGATGATCCAACAGATGCTGGAAGTGGAGAAATGTCAGTGTCCAGACCAGGTTCAAGAGGCTCCCTGGGTCTTTAAGGAAAACCCACCTCCCACCCCTTCTACCTAATATAGTTTGTAAAGGTAGATAAGGTGGGTGCGTGGAAGGTGTGGGATTGAAACCACACAACTCCAGTAAGAGGAAACTGAGAAAGTGTTTTTTCCCCCACTCGCTGTCTAGAATTCTGGGAGGAGGTTGCCTCACAGATAGATGCCTCACACCACATCCACGGGGTGTGTGAGGGCAGGAGCCCCCCAAAGTTGCTCTGGGTCCAAGTTAGAAACTATGCTAGAGCTCAGACGACCAAGGCCCAGTGGGATCTGAGTGGGGACATGGGGGGTGTGGAGGGCTCAGGCCGCGTGACTGGAGAGGACTGTAAACATGTTGGTGGCAGGCAGCAGCAAGACCAGAGGTCAACGAGAGGCTTCTGAGGTCATACTGACCAGACTCCCACCTCCCTTCTACATTTCTAGGAGCTTCCTCCTATGCATCCGTATGCCATCCTGAGAGATGGATGGAAGAAGTCCGAGAGTAATCTCCAGTAGGCCTGACTATTCTGGACCACACTTGTAAGTTCTGAGCAGGGCAGTCACTGTGAAGGGCTTAAGTGGGCAGGCCTCCCTCCGCCCTGCGTCAACCAGAACTGTCTCCGCTGAACTATTTCCTATTTTGAGACACAATAATGTTTGATTCTAAAAAAATAAAGGATCGCTTTAAAATTACATAGTTGGCTATTTTTAGTTAATTGTCAATTAATCCTCTTAATGATGAGATGTGGAAACTGTCTTGAAAGGGGTTAGAATATTTTCTGTTTGGTGCCAAGAATCTCACCCCAGAATAATTTATTACAAAGCATTATTTGCAATGTTTAGAAAGTAAAGAAGAAATGTCAGGATTATTTCTCAGACTCTTTTGCAGAAAAAAAAAGAAAGAAAAAAATGCACAGAAGTTGACATTAGAAATTCTACAGCATGGCATTTTGAACTTCTCTTGTGGTGATTTGAAACAACCTAGATGTAAGAAACTGGAGGAAAGAGTTGTGATTTTCTTTCAAAAACTACAGCATAAAAGCTGGGGGCAGGAGGGAGAGTACAGGAAATATTGAAAGTAAGCCTATCCGATCTTAGACATTCAAATAACTGGCAGACTAGTTCCTTAGATGGATCAATGCTGCAGCCTGAAGAAAGATCTTTGGACCTTCTCCTTGAGATTGCCTTCTAAGTCCTGGCACAGCTTTTACATCTTTTCAATGGTGGCCAATATTTTTCCCTTGAAGGGAAGACAATTTAGGGTGGCAGTCGAAGCTAATTTGTAGTCACCTCTGGAAGAACAGAATTTGGAATTCAGCTCCCTCCTAGATGGAGACAAAAGTAGGGTGTGACTACACTGGGACAGGTTGTTAGTGGACCCTGAGAGGCAATTCCAGAAGTAGAGTTCCAAATAGGTCGTCGCTAGCAACTGTCGTGGGAGGGCCAGGAGGAGGGAGAATAAGAGCGTAGTCAACTTTGAGGAAGAAGTTAGAAACCAAACCCCAACAAAACCTTCTGCTGTGGAGTTGACTCAGGGGGTCAGGGCTTACGAGCTCTCTCTCTCATTCTTTCTATGAGGGGTTCAAACCACGGACCTCCCAGTTTGCAGCGGAGGGCTTACCCACAGGGCCACCAGGGCTCTTTTGGAGAAGAATATTTACGTAAAATTCCGAAGCACTTGCTAAAGAGAACATTTTGCTTATGTGCTTGCAGTCAGACTTCACTCGGTCTAGATCGAGCAAATGGGAAGCTGTCACCCAACAAAGGACACACATATGGATGAATCTTTATGTGTTGGAATCAGAGGGAGGTGATAAGTGGGTGAAGCAGAGTGACCTGTGTGATGGTGGCAGGTGGCAGGTGGTCGTGGGTGGCAGGCTGGCTCTTATCACGCTCATGTTCCTGTGATTCAGGCACAGGCCTTCCACGGACCTTCCTCGCACGTTATCCTGGACCCATCCTGCAGGGGCACGGAGCGAGGATGAGGGTAACGGGCCTCTTATTCGTAAAGTGTGACCAAAAACATTTAGAGCGTCATGTAAAACGATAGATACCCAGGGCTCAGGGAAATTATTTCAACCTTTCCTGGAGTGCTTCCTATTCATTTGAAAAGACCTTGATGAGATTAAAACATTTGACACCAGAGAGTAACAAAACTAAGAGAGAGGATTGACAGGCTAGTGTATGAGGAACCTTTGGCAGCAGCAATAAAGTTCTGCTCATAGCACCAGGCCAGGGGAGAATGGGGCTGCTACAGACTGCAATGAGAGGGACATCGGTTCGAGGATGGCAGTGTTCCTTCCTCAAATGGGAACATGCAGACATTTACAGTTTTGTAAAAAGAACCAGAACATGCCTGAAGGCCAAGAATTCTGCCTTTGGCAGATCAAGAAAAACTTTGAGATAGGATAACGTAGAAATAAAGCAAGCGTTTTGAAGCTCTGCTTGCATGTTAATGTGCAGTCATAGCTTACTGGGGCTTGCCCATTCTTCCCCTTCACTGATGAAAGTAAAGCAAAAAGAAAATACGCAAAAGACAGGTATAGCTAAGAGAGGGGAGCTCACGACACAGAATCCAGGAACAGGAGTGGGAATAGTGATACCAGAAGGGCAGGGGGAAGAGGGGGAGAGGAAGGGAGAAAGGAGGAACCGATCACAATGATCAACACATCCATACACCCCTCTCTGGAGGAAGAACAACAGAAAATATGGGGGAAGGGAGACAGTGGTAGGTGTGAGATATAAAAATAATAACAATGTACAATCTGTCAAGGGGTTCTAAGAGTGGGGGGAGAAAGAGAAGCTAATACCAAGAGCTCAAGAGAAGGGAAATGTCTAGAAAAGAATGAAGGCAACATATGTACAAATTTGCTTGATGCAAGTGATGTATGGATTGTGACAAGAGCTGTAAGAGTCCCTGCCCCTTACAGAATGGTCTCTGGGAGAAGATGAGCCAGTCAGGGTGCAGTGTAGCAATGATGAAACATACAACTTTCCTCTAGTTCCTAAATGCCC